AATCATTGATCTGAGGGTAAGGAACATGCTGTGCTGTTTCCTTGCCTGCAAGCGTTTATTCTTCTCATCTCTAATCCATGAAGTGAGAAAACTCATGGATTTGATGGAAGTGGATTGTTGGCCAGGAGAAAAATAAACAACGTGTTTTTGTGAGTGGTGTTGTGAAAACACAGGGGTTTTGAATCCTAAGTGTTTACCTTTGCTGACAGTAATTATAGAACAGGTATTAGTAGTTTGAAGGAGGATGTTTAGTATTTGACATGTGGCCATGTGCAATGGGGCAAAAGGGACGATTTAGGGACAGCATTTTTTCTCAGGTGTAGTCTTGGATAGCCAAAACCTGCAAAGAGCTCACTTTTGAGGTGTAAGATGGAAGTTTTAAGTGCTGTTGAGGTGCTGTAGTGCGTGTCTTGGCAGTGAAGTTGTTCCAGGCCATGATACCAATCTCATGCTCTTTGTTTCCTCCACAGCATTCACGTATTTTATTTTTTTGAAACACCTTTCTCTATCCAGGTCATAGGGGCACAGCCTTCTCTGAATTCATAGACCTCCCAAATATTTACTCTTTCTGATCAGCAGCAAAAAAAAATCTACTAAATTACTTATAGAATTTCGATTGTTTTTTAATAAAACAGCAGCTACACCAAATGTGTAAGTAACTAACCATTCTTATTGACAGGAAGCATCCTGGCCTTTTCCCACCTTTGGCTCTGCACAATAAAATCTTTAATTAACTTTTCTTTGAATGAAGAATGTGCTTAGCTCATTTTTTGTTACATCTAGTTCTGACTTCACAGTTCTGATAACGGCAATTTCTCAGCAAATCAGTCTGTGGACTGGGAAATGAAACACAAAAATCACTTTGGGGGAAATTTGGAAAACTTCTGGCACTGAGATACTTAAAGCATTTCCTCGTCTGATCTCCTTGTTTCAGCAACAAAAACTACTTGTGCAAATTGTTTTACTTGGACTGAAGTTATTTGCTTGTCATTGACCTTATGTGTAATACTGAGTAACTTCTATTTGCCGTTACTTTCTAGGTTACTCAGTATCTCCTCGTATTGGTCTCTTCATCAGTTGTAAATTCAGCCTTTCAGAATTCTGTACTAATGACTGAAAGTGAAAATCATTTATTTGAGGATCATCAGCTCTCAGTAGCAGGAAGGCAGTGTACCAAATTGAAAGGAGAGCTCTGGCAAGCTGGAAGCGCTTTAACTTCTGGTGATGAATAAAAATAATCAACAGCACTCCAGAGAAACTTAAAGGAGATCCATTAAATTAATGAAAATAATAAACTGGAGAGAGCCATGAGCCCCAAAGAGAACAGAGAAGTAATACAAAGGGAAGTAAAGGTTAAAAATACTGGCTGAAGAATGGCATGGAGGTATCCTTGGCTGGAATGCAGCTGAGGGCATCTGCCTGCTCATTGGTTTACCTTGTTTGTTCTACAGGAGCTTTGCTTCTGCAAAAGGAGATTCTAAATAATTCTGTTACTTTGGTCTGTGTTTTTTTAAGGGAATGCTGAGCAAGCAGGAAAGGTGTTTAATGGAGAAAGAGGAAATCCCAGTGAGAACATGTGTGCTTATGTATGTGCACATCCTAAGCACTGTGTGCAGTGGAGTCACAACAGTGGGGGTACAAAGGCACTTTGTCCTTCAGAATAACCAGAAAAGAAACCCCAAAAGCAGTCCTTGATTTTTTTCAGTGATTTGGTTCCGCAGACTGGAGCTGCTGGAGTACAAATGGGACCTCCAAATGCCCTGCACAAGTAGGCACGTCCTAAGGAGGGTGGGCTGAAACCATTGCCAGCCACTGCTCTGCCACAGCTCTTCCCTCTGGGAAAAGCAGAGCACGGGCAGCAGGGAAGAGGTGTCAGCAGAACAGATCTAAGGGAGATGCTGTGCTGATCTGTTCCTATGAGAGTGGGAGGAAGGAGGAGGTCCAACCACAAATATCATCTTGTTCTGTTTTCCTCAGTGCCCCAGTTTTCTAAGGAAGAAGGAGGTCACTGAACATCAAAAACAGAGATACTGTTTTTTGGAGAAAGATTTAACAAGCTGAATGCATAGATCTTGGCTAGGCTCGGATTAAAGAAGTCCTTAGTATGAAACTAAAATTATTTTTGTCCCTTTATTTAAAGTAGTTAAGTAGTGTAACTAATTATAAGTAGTAATTAACCAAGGAGTTCCTTGGATGGGGCCAAGTCACGGTAAAGTGGAGCTGTGAAACTCAGTTACTGCATGAATAAAAAAGACTGGATTTCCAAGATTAGCATCACTCCATCCAGCTGTGATGGATATGGGGGAGAGCTTGATTATGATGCTAAAGAAGGAGTCTGAAATTAATAATGAGGAAATTAACATTAGTGGAGCTGTAATATCCAAAGTATTCTACAAAGACTGTAAGACTTCCATACTTGTGTGCATGTGAAAATAGGCTGAGGATTGGGCTGAACTATTAACTATCTTGCATTTTGGTTGCTGACAAAGATCTCTCAGAAGTGTCTGGTAGGCACATTTTTTTTTAGGTTAGGGATGGGGGAAGTGCTTAAATGCCAAGATCCCAAGCTATTACTGCAGTTGTTATTCTGATGTAGAGAAAATTGAGATTATTTAGTGCTGAGGGGTTTTAAAAATCATTTCCAAGGAATGATGACTGAGGAAGGATGAACCTGTCCCTGCTGGGTTAACTCATAAAATACAGATCACACCCTTGGAGTAAAAAGTCAGGGGTGTGGAGAGAGGAGAGCTGGTAAGAAGAAGGAAAAGTCCTTGCATAGACCAGATTTCCTTACCCATAACCACAGGTGACTGTGAGGAAACCACTGCTGACCTAAGTATCGATTTTTCATGGGCTGAATGAAAGTCAAACCGCTTGATTCTAGAGATGTTTGATTTACCCCTCACTTATTGAAACAGTTAAAGAAGGCAAATTGGAGCACTGAGTGTGTTTTAAATCTTTGCTTTTCTGCTGCTGTTAAGTATAAGTGCAGTGCTCTGTGGTGTGGACACTTCCCAGGTCTATAAAAACACCTCCTTCAATCACATTTCATGAAGTTCTGGGACAGATGAAAAGCAAGGAAGAAAAGCCCAGTGAAATGCTGGTTTTCAGGTTCTGCCTCTCAGTGTGTCTCTCTCTGAAATAAAAAATCAATTCAGGTTCATCCAGTTTTGCAATGGACCTGACTGATGTCCTTGCTCTGGCTGATTTTGGATGTCCAGCAGGGCTTTTATCTCAACAGTAGCTGTCCAAATTTGCCTTGAATTACATGCATTTTGTGGTCCTGGTGCTGTAATTGTGTCTGCTAGTGCACAGCTCATTGAGACCGAAGTGTAGCCTTTTCAGGGTCAGTATTACCCTGTTTATGCTGCTCAGGGTAGAGCATAAACATCAAACTGTATCTTTAGTGCTTTATGAATGTCAGACTCTGTCATGTGATAATCCAACTGTGCACTGATCCTAATGCAGTTTTTTTCAAAATACTCGATTACTTCAAGCCTGATTTCATTGTGCGGAATTCAATTTACTCATTGCAAAAGCTGGGCTTTCCCTGGCTGGAGTCAAGCTGTAATGAGCAAGCAGATGTGCAGTTTATTTTATTGTGGGTGGTGAAGACATACACCGTCCCAGTTGTTTAGACAACAAACTTCATGTATTCTTCATATACTATAAGTAAATTGAAGAAAAGTTGACTTCAGTCACTTTGAGGTTAAAAAATGTCATTTAGTATAGATTCTGTTTCCTGGCAAAACCTTCATTTGTCCTATATGTAGTAAAGGAATTGAGTGTCCCTGGTGGTGCAGTGGCTAAACCGCAGCGTTGTCAACGCTGAGATCTGGGTTCGATTCCCGGTTAGGACACTCCCCGGGCAGATGGAGCTCGCTAGCCCTGTAAGGCAATCCATCTACGTCCTGAGGACCTCGCTGCCACCGTCCAAGCGTGCTTGGCCCCGGCAGATGAACCTCAGGATTA